AAATTTCGAAAAGGTGACTATACTGAAGTCAATGGTATGTCACACCACAAAAGGGGCTCGAAAAAGCCAAGTCAAAAGTTTTCGAGAGGTTTCAAAAACCATCGAAACCTTCCCTGAATAATTTCGAAAAGAAACTCACCTGCTACTTTTGTGGCAAACAAGGTCATCGAAAATCTGAGTGCCGAGCACTCAAGGCAGAGAAAAGGAAATACAGTCCTACCCAGACATAGAAAAAGACAGTAGAGTGTCATAACTGCGGTAAAATCGGTCATTACGCTTCGGAATGCCGATCCAAGCGTACTTTTAACCCAAAATACAAAAAACCAGGATTTAAGAAACCTGAATACTCAAAAACCAACAAAAGCATGGAGTGCTACAATTGTGGCAAGAAAGGTCACAGAGCATCTCAATGCTGGGCGAAAAAACGAGACAGTAGAGGGTCTTCTAAACCCACTAGAAAATTATGAATCCAGTGATAACCATCAAACTCAAACAGTATGACCCTAACGGGCACATACGAATCCTTACCCTTCCATTTTGCCTTCTTGATTCGGGTGCATCTTCTTCATATATAACGAGAGATATACTGCCTCCTGAAATGAATATCAAAAAGCTTGAAAATCCACAATATGTGAGCAATGCATTTGGAAAGAGAATTTCATCTATTGAAGAAATTCTTATAGCTAACCTTGCAATCGAAGAAGACGATATTGAAATTTCAAAAGTCAAGTTTCATCTTGTAACAAAAAAGATGAAATACAAAGCTATTATCGGAATGAACATCATTTCCCACTTTAAAGTTGACTTCCGAAATGATGAAATAAAATTGCTCAATAATCTCTTGAGTAACGGAAGCAAAAACGAGGTATCAACTATCTTGTTTGAATCAGAAGAAAACTCGGTTGAGTATGATGTGTTATCCAACGAATATATAAGTGTTTCACCTCACAGTAATAGAACACTGTATGTTCGACTTTTTGGCAAAAAATGGCCATCTGACAAAATGACATTTTTTCCCGATGAAAGATTCACCGAAAATGATATTTTTGTCCATGAATACAAAATTTTTTCAAACTTCCGAATAGTTGAGATACAAAACAGATCTCACTCTAGAATAATTAATTACATTAATTTAAGAGTGAGAATAATATTCTCACTCTTAGAATAAATTTACTTGGTTCTACCAGTCGGCCACAATCATCAGATAAGTAAGCAAAAGTGACGGCGCGCTAGTGCTTTACACGCTGCGCGGGGAGCCCGAAAAGCATTAGCGCGCGCCATAATCTCAGTGGGTGCTTGTTTTGACCCAGTACACGGAATCAGATGCAAACAATACCGGGTGATTAACACAAAAAAGTTCCCGGAAGTCCTAAGCTTCATGTTTGCAAAGAAATTTTCGAAAAATAATAAGCAAGTGACCCAGAAAACTCGGGTGAAAAATCGGTCAGCTTTAAGAGTAGTCTTAAGTTTGTCTTCCGCAGCATTTTCCGATCAAAAAGATTTTGGTATCATCAGAATCAGCTGAAAAATCCATACTTATAAGGAAATTTTTATGAAAATCGAAGGGCAGTCGTTTTCCCGTGAAAGTCCCTAGGCATAACGCACAAAAAATCGACTTTTTATCTAAAAGTCGTAGGAAGCTGATTTTCACGTATCATATAGATTTTTGTGCTCTGATAACATTTTAAATAAAAAAATTTCAAAATTTTCAAATTAAGTACTTTTGAAGTACCCCAAAGTTGCCAAAAAATTGATTTTTCGAGCAATCCAAGCTACGGGGTTCTAAGTATGCTCATTCGAAAGAGCGGAAAAAACTGAGTCAGAATCATCAATAAAAAGGGGTTCCTGGGTGGGTTCTCTGGATTCTAGGGATGAAAAACCCAAAAAATGATGACTCATCATTGATTCCGAAAACCGGTATTTCTGAAATATACATTGATTCACGCTAGACATATATACTTTTTACCAACTCTGGGCTCGACGTAAAAAATGTCGAGGATTTCGATCACGTGTTTCAAATTTTGTAGTAAATTCATCTTCGGGTCATTTGAGGTTATCAAAGTTCCAAACTAAAAATTTTAAACAGATTACCTAAAACCATAAAAAAGCTAAAAATCTGGATAATATAAATTTTAACATCAGATGGAGGTGGGTTGGGTTGTAGACGTGACTGAGAATGATCAACTCAGATTTTTCAGCCTTTGTCAAGCCCCTTAAATTCAAAAATCAAGGGGCGGAGCTGAGACGGATGGGTACTTCCGGTCTAGAATTCTTGAATTTCCGGCGAAAATCAATATTCAAGAAGAAAAATCTGGGTCAAAACTTGAAATATTTTTTTCTCTGAAAATGAATTCTGACTAATTCGAGTATGCAGAATCCATTTTTGACAGTCAAATTTCGTCTATATAAGCCAAAAGAAGACCCAATTTTTTGCAAGGAAACCCTAGGTATGCCGGCGAAAGTCGAACTCGGAGTCCTTTTTCTTCTGCGAATTCTCTGACTGCTTTGAAGTTCAAGTTCAAAGTTTGAACTCTCCTCCATTATCCATGAGGATCTCTCTCGGTAAGTTGTAAGGCCGAAAAGTCCTTACTAGTAGTGTAGCAAAACGGTGGTGACCATTTCTGACCATTTCCGACCACTTCCGGTCACTTCCGGTTCACTTCCGGTTCACTTACAAGTGTTTCCAATCACTTCCGGTCACTTCCGGTTCATTTCCGGTTCACTTCCGGTCACTTCCGGTCACTTCCGGTTCACTTCCGGTTGACCTCCAGTTGACCTCCAGCTCACTACTGAAAGGATAGATCCATTATAAAACACCACAAGAGTAAGCCAAAGTGAGTGCTAGGGTTCCGCACGATCGGAGGACTCAAATTTCAAAAACCAAATTAAACTATAACAAATTTTTAAGTTTTGAATGGGATAGAGGTTTTCGACTATGGCGAAGAAAATGACGATACTTATATTCTGATAACTCTATAAATTCGCCGATTTATCTCGGTTTTTCCGGTATATTTCTGTCGCCCATGTTCAGTCGCCCTCCCATTGAAAAGAACACCAAAAAATAGTAGTTTTTGTTTTTAAATGAAATTATAACTCAGCGAACTTTTTGTGGGCTGATCAATTAAAGTTTTCATAAGCATTAACATTTTCATTTCCCGCGCGCTGATTGGTCGAATTTCTGACTGTGTTGTTCAGATGGAAGAATCTTCAGTCTAGAAAAAGTGCCTTGCGCAGCTGACCAATCAGAGCGCATATGCTAATTAAACTTTGTGTTTTTAAATAGCTTTAAAATGAAAGAAGAAATGGCTTTTAGGAGAAACTAGGATCAGAAATGGATTCTACTAGTCACTTTTAGTAGAATTTAAAAATTTTGGTAAATTTAAAGTCTCTGTCCCAATCGTGCGGAACCCTAGTGAGTGCTCACTGAGAACAGCGCCACCTGGCGTGGGCTCTCGCGCCCCACCTAGTGTCGGCTCTCGAGTGCCACCTAGTGGTGGCTCTTTGGCGCCACCTATGGTGAGCACAAAAGCCTTGGTTACTCTATATTTGGCCATAGTTACACCTTATGAGTCAATGACTCACTCCTGACGCATGGATTACATCATCTGAAGATACTCCTCGAAGCTTCTAGCGACAATGAATCACAATGACGAACTATGACATCATCTTGGAGAATCTACACGAATATTCCATTGCTGTTCTAAGAAGCCTCAAGATTATTCTATCCCTGTTCTAAGAAGCTTCTTGAACATTCTTATTTTCCCTTTCTGACTATATAAGCGCTGTGTCTTTCTGAATAAAATCACTTCTTAACTGAAACCCAAAAAACAACTTTACTCTCTTTTATCCAGCAACAACAACAGCAACAACAACAGCAACAACAACAGCAGCAGCAACAACACCAGCAGCAGCAACGACAACGGCCGCTGAGCAATCAGTGGTAACAAGTACTCTCACGGGTACTTGCGAACTCAGGTCTACGCTTTAGTAGAGCTGTTTAGAGTCTTGAATCTTGTAGTCGTAGTGTATTGTCTATTTAGTCGTACACGCATAGACCCAAGTATAAAAAACCAGAGAAGGAATTTGACTAGCGTCAGGAGACCAGTAAAAGGGTACTTTGTGCCCCGTCATTGGTGACTGAAGTTATCGATTCCACGAGAATAGATCAGACACGGTAGCTAACACAATACTCGCGTAGTCGCCATTCTGGAGTGGCTACGTCAAGGTCTGCGCTGATCTATATCGGACTCCGTAAGAATCTTTTTTGATTCGGTTCTCGGCGTAAGGGTTTTTTACCTAGCGGGGAATAAAAAGATCCGTCTACGGCATATAGACGAAAAACTACCCGAACGCAGCCTAGCGTATAGGCGATTTCCCGTGGCAACGTCCACATTCCCCAGTAATACCCGGATAGGGTTTAGATAACGCATTAGCATTTGCATTAGCAGTAGCATTAACAAGTAGTCGTTCATTTTTGAGGAAGAAACAACCAAATCTTCATACTTAAAAAGGTAAGCATGACACTTGATAGTACTTTAACCAAGGAATCCGGCTTTGATGATTTCTTTTCTCAAATCGGAGACTTCGATTCAAATGATTTCTCAATTATATATCTTCACGCAAAGAAACCGATAAGAGCTTCGGTAGTAAAGGAAGTAACTTTAGACAGTAATCTCCTTTACAGAAGGTCGGCTAAAGAGGAAGAGGCCTTAGCAGCCATAAACAGAATAGGTGAAGTTTTTCCAGCAGTGATTCTTGAAGTTGCCAATAGTAAAGAGAAAACCATTAAATACCATGTTGTCCCAGTTGGTAGCATTTTACCAAAAGGTAGTAAAACCAATATTTACTACTGGACTCCATTGTGCAACAAGATCACTAAGAATCGAGATAGTTTACGAGAGGTTATTAATACAGTAAGAGCGGATGAAAGAATTCAATGTCGGAACTTTCCAAGCTCCGTTAATAAAAGGATTAATGATGTGATACAATCGAAAACAAATATGTTCCTTGTCGAAGATAGGAAAATTCGAAAAGAACTTCCCAAAGCAGTAAATGATGAGGATACTTTTTCGATTGCAGAGACAGTTGATTCTGATTGCTCTCAGTCGCAGATGAATGAACATGAGGAAGCTTCGAACATAAAACTTGAGCAAGAGTATCACGACGATCAATTTTCCGATGTTAGCTCGGTTAAGGATCAGCATTTTCAGCAAGAGTCTGGTTTTAATCAGGACCATCAGAGTCAAGATAATACACCGAATGATTCGAAAGAACATTCCCAGGAAGAGAAAACATCTGATCCAAAACAACCTCGAGTTGAAGTTCACCACATAAATACGCTCTCTTCAAACCATAAAATAAAACTCTCAATGTTCAAGGAAACTGATAATTGCGAAGCATGGGTAAGAAAATGTGAATTTATCATCAACTTGGGAGGGGTAAAAAATGCATTCAAGAAGATAAGTCACATGTGTAGCCACCTCCCAGAGCCCATTCAAGAAACAGTTATCCTTGAGCTTGCTGAACTTGAGGAAAACCAGATCACCATCCAAGAATTCATCAAAACTCTGAACAAAGCTTGCAGAAAGAATGAATTCCAGTATGAAACCCTCTTTACCAAACTCAAATACAATGAGGAAGAGCATTTGAATTTGAGAAACTTCTACTACCGAGTAAAACAGCTGGTAAAGCAGACCATCGGTGAAGGATGTGATAAAATGGTTGAGAAAGTGGCTTTTAAAGAATTTTTGAACAAATTGCCGCAGAAAATCCAAAAATCGGAATTCCTCCTTGAATACCGAAAGGAAAAAACAAATCTCATGGACATTGTTGATAAATGCGAAGAACTGTATGAAAAATTTCGAAAAGGTGACTATACTGAAGTCAATGGTATGTCACACCACAAAAGGGGCTCGAAAAAGCCAAGTCAAAAGTTTTCGAGAGGTTTCAAAAAACCATCGAAACCTTCCCTGAATAATTTCGAAAAGAAACTCACCTGCTACTTTTGTGGCAAACAAGGTCATCGAAAATCTGAGTGCCGAGCACTCAAGGCAGAGAAAAGGAAATACAGTCCTACCCAGACATAGAAAAAGACAGTAGAGTGTCATAACTGCGGTAAAATCGGTCATTACGCTTCGGAATGCCGATCCAAGCGTACTTTTAACCCAAAATACAAAAAACCAGGATTTAAGAAACCTGAATACTCAAAAACCAACAAAAGCATGGAGTGCTACAATTGTGGCAAGAAAGGTCACAGAGCATCTCAATGCTGGGCGAAAAAACGAGACAGTAGAGGGTCTTCTAAACCCACTAGAAAATTATGAATCCAGTGATAACCATCAAACTCAAACAGTATGACCCTAACGGGCACATACGAATCCTTACCCTTCCATTTTGCCTTCTTGATTCGGGTGCATCTTCTTCATATATAACGAGAGATATACTGCCTCCTGAAATGAATATCAAAAAGCTTGAAAATCCACAATATGTGAGCAATGCATTTGGAAAGAGAATTTCATCTATTGAAGAAATTCTTATAGCTAACCTTGCAATCGAAGAAGACGATATTGAAATTTCAAAAGTCAAGTTTCATCTTGTTACAAAAAAGATGAAATACAAAGCTATTATCGGAATGAACATCATTTCCCACTTTAAAGTTGACTTCCGAAATGATGAAATAAAATTGCTCAATAATCTCTTGAGTAACGGAAGCAAAAACGAGGTATCAACTATCTTGTTTGAATCAGAAGAAAACTCGGTTGAGTATGATGTGTTATCCAACGAATATATAAGTGTTTCACCTCACAGTAATAGAAAACTGTATGTTCGACTTTTTGGCAAAAAATGGCCATCTGACAAAATGACATTTTTTCCCGATGAAAGATTCACCGAAAATGATATTTTTGTCCATGAATACAAAATTTTTTCAAACTTCCGAATAGTTGAGATACAAAACAGATCTCACTCTGTTGTTGTTATCGACAAGAATGTTAAAGTCGGTTGCATTCGGGAAAAATTCTTCCATCACAATCTTAATTTCCTCCTCACCGAAAAAGAGCTTGAACCTTATGAAAAGGTGACTCATCAAAAGGAGTTGAGGCTCTGGCGGGAGCGGAGGAATCTCTTGGTTAAACATTACCCTCTGGATAAAGAAATTGAGGCACTCGCCGCACAGGCACCAAAGCAATATCAAAAAGAGCTTAGATTTATTCTTTTTAAGCACGAATGGACATTTTCAAGGGGAGTCAGTGATGCTGGCTTATCCCAAAATTACTTGACTGAATTGAAATTAAAAGACTCAGATGCTCCAGTTTATACAAGACCGTATAAATTGGATATAAGCATGCAAGAAAAAGTCGAGAAAAAGCTTGACGAGCTTAAGACTTCTGGAATTATTGAACCATGCTGTTCTGCATGGAACAGCCCTGTCATATTCGTCAAAAAGAAAGATGACAGCATAAGAGTTGTGAATAACTACTCAGCCTGTGGCGACAAGAGTGTCAATAGCAGACTGATCATTCCGAAATACCCTTCTCTTCCAATTCGATCAGTTCTTGCGAAAGTCAGCTCAGCGATCACGACATTGAAGGAAAGATTTCCTCACGACAAGATCTACTTTATCGGTCTCGACGTTCGAAATGCTTTTTATAGCATTGCAATTAGAGAAAAGTCGAGGGATATCACTAGCTTCCTCTTTGGAGGAGAGCAATTCCGATATCAGAGAATGAGCCAGGGACTCTCATCGTCCCCCGCAACCTTCCAGTATTTCATCAATAAAGTCATGGCTGGAACGGAAGGAATGAGCAAGGACTACTTTCTCATCAATTATCTCGACGATTTCTTTGTTATCGTTCCTGAGCGCTTTCACAACAAATGTGTCGACAATTTACTACAACGAATGTCTGACCAAAACCTCGTAGTAGCGCTTCAAAAAAGCGAATTTTACAAAACCGAGTGTAAATTCCTCGGATTTCTAATAACTGAGTCAGGAATCAAGGCTGACCAGATGAAGGTTCAAGCGCTTCTTGAATTGGACTTTCCCAAAAATTTAAAGGAAGCACAGAGATTTCAAGGGGCACTCAACTACTACAGTAGGTTGATTCCAAACATGTCAGCATGTCTAGCGCCGCTTGCCTCTGAAATTGGCAAAGGAAAAGCATACACGCTGAACGATGAAATAATAAACGGAATCAAACAGCTGAGAGATGAGATCCGGAAAGGTGTATCCATTGATCACTTGAAATATCCAACAGGCGAAGACGGCTCGTACCTGTTTATCGCTGCCGATACATCTTTGACGAGAACAGGATCAATCATCGGTAATCTTCGAAAAAACGAAGATACTATTTCGAATATAACAATCGCTGGATATGCAAGCAAAGCTCTTGACAAACAAGAAGTCCTATTGTCATCAAGAGCTAGAGAATTAATAGGCCTTGGACACGCACTCAAGGCATTCGAAGAACTCATTCCTAAAGATAGGAAATTTCTACTTCTCTGCGACCACAAAAATCTCGAAGGAGCTAAGCATTCCACTAAGTTAAAAACAAGTGGTAATAGCAGAGTAAGACTTGCATTTTCGAGATTGCTCGAATATCCTTTAGCGACTGTCCACTACCTTCCTGGAGAGCATCCCGTTATTGGAGTTGCTGATGCTCTCTCAAGATTGCCAGTGTTGGAAATTGGAAAGATAAACAGTAAAATATTTGAGCCTTCAAATATTACAAATGAAAAAATGACACTGAATACGACACAAATATTTAGTCAACAAAAACCAATCGTCGACATTAAAATGATCATCGAGCATCAAAAACGATCAGACAAATTTTCGAAAATTCGGAAAAAATTGGTCGACAAACAGTGCGTCAAAATTGAGAATATTACTTACCAGTTACATAACGATATACTGTATCGAACAGTAAAAAATGGTAAGCTCCTCGCAATTGTTCCAAAAACGCTTTCAAAGGAGCTAATTGGCTTTTACCATGTAGCCACAGCTCATTCCGGAAAAGCACCTATTGAGGAAAAACTCAAAGATGAGCCTTTATGGCTAGAGAACAAAACGGAAGCAATCAGTCAAGCCATTGATGGTTGTATTTTCTGTTGCCTTATTCAACCGTCAAGGTTCAAGTCAAAGTCAGATATTGTGGCTCTTAAGCCAAGTCAAGCCTGTTACCAAAAAATATTTGTTGATTTAATCGAAATCTCAGTTTCAGGAAAACTTCTGCATTATCTATCATTTTTGGACGACTTTTCGTTAATGTTATCAGTAGAACGAGTAAATTCAAAGGCAAAGCAGGATGTCGTTCCAAAAATAATTTTACTTTTAACAGAATTCGGTTGTCAAGGAAAAGCACTTATGGTTTCGGATAATGGCGGAGAATTCGTTAGCGATTGTCTCGCAGAAGCTGTTGAGTATTTACAAGTTGATCGATCATTTATTGCACCATACAACTCAAGAGCAAATAGAGTTGAGCGGGCTCATAGAGACCTCAGATCATTTATAAGAACAGCAAATCTTAAATTTAAAGATGCTGATTTTATCGTTAAGATGAGTGCGAACTTATACAATCACCGCCAAAAAGAAGGTCTGAAGGGACTGACCCCAGCTCAAGTGGCAAGAAATATTGACCCACCAGTCCATTATGGGTCATTGAAACTCTTTGAAAATACAGGAAATTTCAAAGATATTCATGAGTACATGAAGCTTTTAGAAGAATTTCATGTTGAACTTGCCAGACACAAGCGAGAAAAATATCTAGTTAAAGAAAGACGAATCAATGAACTCAAGAAAAATGATATTTGTGTTATCCGAAATCCAAACGACAAATTAGTTGGTCATCGGAAGGACAATCTTGGCCCATACAGAGTTCTAGAAAAACGAGGCGACTCTGCTTACTATCTTGAACACATTCTCCTCGGGTCGAGAATCCTAAGAAATAGACGGCTTATCATAAAGTTAAACTTGAATGAAAAAGAAGTTGAAATGCTTGAATCGAAGAAAAATCTTATGTTCAACAGTAACAATGAGATTTTGACCCAAAAAGAGAATGGAAAAATCGCCCGGTCACCTCTTGACCTCGAAAAATTTAAACAGAAACTTAAGTCAGAACGAGAAGAAGACATCACCGAAAAAGAAAAACCAAAATACTTCTTGAGAAGCCGCAATAAACAGAAAAAATGAAGATATACGCAGTTATCATTTTAACCGCCATAAGTACGATATTCGACGGCGAAATATTGAGCAAACACCGATTTTCCATTAAAAATGGAAAGAAAAACTTGATCAAGATGATAAGCTACCCTCAGAAACTTGAGTGGGAAAAGTCAAATTGCTCAGATGAATTTCAACGACAGATCATGGATTACGAGAAAAATACGGAAGATAACATGATGAGTTGGTTGTATAACAACTCCATTCCGGTGCACTACACTGGAGAACTCAGCCGCGAGAAAAAATCACAAAATATTATTGTTGAAATGAATGATAAAATCTGTCATCAAAATTGTTCGAGTCTTTTCAATAAAAATGTTTGCAAACAAAAATATTCGTACAGTGTTGAATTCAATGGAAAGGCTCAGGGAATATTTATAAATATTCAAAAAGCAAAGGATACTGAAATTAAACTTACTGTTTTTACTGACGTCAAACGCAAAGCTTCGCTTGTAGCTGAATACGAGTTCGATCTTCAATACCATCTGTATCTTGGTTTTAAACGAATAAAAAAGTTTGATATTGAGTTTGAAACGAAGAGAATAGATGTCATGAGCGAAGGCCAAGCTCAGGACATTCCTGTTTGCTTCAAAATATTGAGCATTACACCGCTCTACAATTCTGTCAGCGCTAACTTAGCGCAAGCAGAACTAAAAAACTCAATTAAAGCTTTCACGGATTATAACTCAGCTTCAAGAAATAAGACTGTAGAAATGTTGAGCTCAACGTGCGCACATAATTCGGGCTCCATGGACACATTCTTGCAGAAGCAACATAGTATCTTTTTGCATCAATTTATAGAGAATCACAGTAATCTCAGTCTCGCGTCAAAATCATTTAAAGATGTTATCATAAAAAAGCTCAACACATTGT